CCCCCACACACGAGACACCTCGGGTCCCCGTCCCTGCCCCCCACACACGGGACACTCCGGGTCCCCGTCCCCGCCCCCCACACACGAGACACTCCGGGTCCCCGTCCCCGCCCCCCACACACGAGACACTCCGGGTCCCCGTCCCCCCCACACACTAGACACTCCGGGTCCCGGTCGGGTCCGCAGTGGGGAGCCTGGCCGGCCGCGCGGGGTCGGGCCGGGCTGCGCGGGAGGGTCTTGGCGCCGGCTCATGTTTCTTTCCAGAACTGGGCACTTTGTGAAATGCCCCTTGAGGAAGCGTCGCACGGAGCTGAATTTAGAGTCGGGATTTATCTTGTTAATTTGCAGTGGTGCCAAGGCGTACCTGTGGGCTATTTGAGAAAGATCCCAGCTGTAAAGATTTGGGGAGTTCAGGCTCGCGCCTTCAATCGCGTTGATTCCGTTTAGAAGCTGCCAGATCACTCGGTGGAGACAGGCGCAGGGTCCGCGCGAAAGCCGTGCTCACCGGGCGCGCTTCTTTCCGTGGACCCGGGACTCTGCCGACCAGCTCGGCAACGTCTGCCCGCGTCCGGGTGCTGCGGGAGTGTGACTGCCTGCACTCAGCGTGTGTTGGGTTAAAAGAAAGCATGTGTTGAAACGCTGAATTGCTATATTGCAGTCACTTTTGGTTTTGTGGCATGACAGCCTTAAAACAGATTATTTTCTTTGGGTTGGTTTTACTGAGGTTGGGAGAAGCTGCATCCAGATGGGTGGTGACCAGTGTTGGACGTGGCGCTGGTGAACCTCGGCATTTCTCCAGGTGCAGTGAGGGCGTTTCTTGCAGGAGGAAATGCGGAGGTGGTTCACCAGTGCCACGCGCATCATTGGTCCAAACAGCCAAGAGTCCATTTGCTGACTAGGGTCACACAGGTACTCTGAGTTGCCTGAAAACCCACACCTCCATTCCTCTAGGGGACTGCCACAGCTCACCTGAACCAGCCAATCAGAGCCCAGCTGCCTTGGCCAATCGGAACTAAGCAAGTTTGAATCCTTAGTTTGCGTAAACAGAACTGCTTGGGTGCCTGGGCAGGAGCTTTCTCTGTAAACCCTCTCTTTGTTCTCTGGAATGTGCCTTCCCACCTTCGTTTTGCGCAGAAGTTTACATCTTCCTGGTTTGCAAACTGCTGGAGTGAAGTCTCTTTCCTCCAGAGTCCTTTTGGAAAGCTTCTGTTCGCGCTATTCACCTGTTGCTGCTGCCCTGGGCAGAACTCAACCACAGGGTTGCACCTAATTGCATAGGAAGGTAGAGACTGTGGTCCAGACGGAAAGGGAAATGCCTTTAGTGAAAAATGAGCAGCAGCTGCTGTGGTCTCTCTTCTGGTGACCAGACACCTGTTTTGCTCTTGGTGCCGCATGGACAACACACTCACTTCTCCCAGGGGACACACCTGGCCGGGATGCCCAGCACAACACGGAGCTCCCCCAGCGTTGCAATTGATCCTCGTGGTCCAGAGGCCTTTGAAGTAAAAAGACTCTTTGCTCCCCCCATCAAAATGCAGTGGTTCCATGTGACCAGGGTTATAGTGACAGAATCTTCCTTTCAGGAACGGGAGACACCTAGCAGACACAGTCACAGCAGTTTTGAACTTCTGCTGGGGTGGAGGTGGGAAGAGTTTCCCAATGGGACCCCGACTCTGCTACCTGGCAGGAATTCCCTGAAGCCCTGGGTTAGGGTCAGGCCTTTTCCCGCCGTGGCCTCATCTGAAGTGGCCAGTGAGGATGCCATCCTAGGGGGCTGCCGCAGTCCCTTCCTGGAGCCATGACGATGGGGACCCAGAGATGACCAGTCTTGAGCCGTCAGTGGGTCTTTATTCCTTGCTTGATATTTAAATGGCCTCATCCTTCCCATAAGAGTGTGGCGGCCTCGGGTCTGTGTGTATCTCATCAGCTATGTGTGCCAGTGACGCCCCATTGTCCCTCCTATGTCTCCCTTTCCAGCCTGACTTGTTTTCTTTTTGCGCATTTGCTCTTCTGGGTGGTGGATACCCTGAGCGTATGTGGAATTCTGGGCTTGCGTGGGAAGGTAACCATCCTCGGCCTGAGCTGTGCTGCCCTCTGACCCTCTCGCGGCATCTCTGGGCGCTCGGGTTTCCCAGCCCTGCAGCCCTCAGGCTCCTGCACGCTTTCTATTTCCATCCATTTCTGCCTGTGCACCGGGCAGTTCTCTAAGCCAATTGTGTTGGTTAGGAACTTTTCCAATCATTTCCCGTAGGGTCGCACAATCAGCAAGTGTGTGGTCAGTTTTCCAGGCTGTTGCGAGATAGAGTTTAACCTAATGCTTTGTCACTGCCTAACACGAATCCTGAGCTTTCAGCCTCCTGAACTGTTTCCACACCCACCACTCAGCCACTGAGCAGCGTCTGCGGTGTCACTGGAGTCTCCGACTTGAAGGTTTTGTGTCAGTCACAGGCTGTTGGAAGTGAAGAAAGTCTCTTTCTTGCTTATGCAAAAGTCCAACCCAGTGTTCCTGGTCACCCCCCACCAGGCAGTAGCTCAGGTGACTAGGTGCCTTCTGCTGTGGCCCCTCTTCCCTGTAGCCCTCTGCCTGCGATGGGAAAGTGGGGGACCACGCGCGGGCCGTGACAGGACCAAGCCTGTGTGTCCTGTGAGGGGTGTGCCTTCCTGACCAGAACCCCAGAGAGACTGGAGCTATGGCTCCGCTGAGCTCCTCGCAGCTCCAGGGAGGAAGCAGAAAGGGCTTGGTGAGGAACCGCCGCAGTAGAAAGAAAAGCAGATGTTTTAACATACAAAAACAGCTTTTTCATAAGAACAAGATGTTAGGAACCACCGGACCTCTGTGTAAAGGGGCTGGGTTGGGAATGGATTAGCAACCTCTGGCTCACAGGCTGGATGTGTGTGTGTGTGTGTGTGTGTGTGTGTGTGTGTTCCCTGACAATGCTTCTACTGGCACAGAGACACACACACCTGTCTGTGCCACGTTGCCACGAAACAGGAGGCGTAGGTGTCGCAGCTGAGAGCGATGAGGGCTCAGGGCTTCCTCCTGCAGGTGACCTGTGTGTCCCAGCAAACACGCCTTTCCTTCCCTCCGTGCTTCTGAAGTCTCTGTGTCTGTGAACGCTTGACTCTAGCAAGCCCCTGGCTGTGACTTTTTTATCTATTACACCTGTATCAGAAAACTAAAGCACATCCATATTTTGTCTTTATTTTGGAAATAATTCCAGTGATAGCAGATGTTGGATGTCAGGAGCTTTTTTGTTTGTTTGTTTCTGCTTTTGTTTTTAATATACATGGAGGTGTGCTATCCTTGAAGCCATGAGACAGATCTCTAGGTCTTCAGAGATCATCTTTCTCCTCGGACCTAGGACTTTCCACTTCAACCCCATGCTGTCCACTGCCAGTCCCATTCGGATTGGACACCTCTTTATATGTGTGCACGTGCATGTGTTTATGTGTGCAAATGCGGGTGTGCATGGGTATGTGTGTGCATGTCTGCATGAAATATTCATGTGTGTCTGAGTGCGAATGTGCTCACATGTTTGTGCATGTGCATGCATGGGTGTGTTTGGTCTCTTACCCCAGAAATATCCACACCTTAACTTCTTTCTCATAAGCTGGACTGTCCTGTTCTTCCCAAGACCTTCTGGCACCTACCTCATCCCTGGGCCGCCCTGGGCCCTGCACTCCTCTCTTGCTGCCAGTTGCTTGTTCTTGTCTTACTTCAGGGTTCTGTCCGAACAGGACATGGATCTCTGTGTACATGTGCACAGGGTATTATCACTTCATTCTTACAAGTTTTCATTTTGTAGGCACTTGTAGTAGTTTGTTAAAACTGCTGCACAAATTACTGCAAATCTAGTGGCTTAAACGTGTTACAGTTCTGGAAATCGGAAGTCCAAAATGGGTCTCACTGGGGTAGGATCAAGGTGTGGGTGGGGTTGGCTCCTCCTGGAGGCTCTGAAGAGAGTCCCCTTCTTGGCTTATCCAGTGTCTAGAACCTGCCAAGTTCCTGGCCCGGGGCTCCTTGCTCTGTCTTCAAAGCCAGCGATGGTGGCGGATCGAGTCCAACAGTGTGGCCTTATCACTCCGACGGAGTCTCCTCTCTCTTCTGGGACATGTAAGGAAGGCGGCTGCCTGGAGCTCATGAGGACAACCCAGGAAAATCTCTGTTCTGTGGTCCCTTGGCCATGTCACCAATGTCTCCACGGACATCTTTGGGGGTATTACTCTGCCTGCCATGGTGCCCCGGATATTTAGACTCTAAAGCACCCTGTTTAGCTCATTTTATGTAATCAGTGCACAAGAGCAACACCAAGGTGCTCTGTAGTAATGTAGAA